ATTATTTTTATAATTTTTTATTCCTTTTTTATTATTTTTTAAGTTTTTTATTTTTAAAGGATTTTTAATTTTTGTTTTGTTTATTTTTATTTTTATTTATTTATTTTATTTTTATTCTATTTTTATATTCTTATTCAATTTTAATTAAAAAAATTTTTAAATTTAAATTAATTTTTACTTTTATTGTTTTAATTTTTAAAAAAATTTTACACACCTGCTTTCAATGAAGATATAACTAGGCTACTTAACTTTTAATAATAGTTACATGTAGACCATCCGGTTGGTCGGTACAGACTATAAACATTTCTCACGTACCTTAGTGGCTCACTTTTCTTTGCCCCAATAAAACAATGATTTACAGTATTTGCTGTATATAAATGTACTATAAAGTATTTTTTAATTTTATTATATATATATATTGTGCTTTGAATTTATAGTGTTACAAGCTGAATTACTACAGTCCCAAGCAGAAGTGAAGAGATTGCTGGACAGACTTGGAGAATTATCGAGAGGAAGACAAGAAATGGTCTCAGGAGCAGTTCACTCTCAGCTACTGGAGCTATCAGACAGAAGAGCAGAAGAGGCCGAGAGAAGAGTCAGAGAACTAGAGCAACAGGTGCAACCTATTTTATGCTCATGACTCATTCTACATAGCATAAGGGCATTGAGCCATTTTTTGAGAATAAGCATGGGCTATAGTACAGGGTATTTTTCAGAATTTTTGGCATTTTTTTAAATGGCTGTAACTTGAAAAATTAAAGTCGAAATCAGCTCAAACTTTCTACACAGCATAAGGACATCAATATGTATCAGAAAATGTAATAAAAATTGGGGGTGATTTTGGAGCCATTTTTCAGAAAAAACCATGGGCTATAGCCTTGGGTATTTTTCAAAATTTTGACATTTCCTTAAAAATGGCCGTAACTCAAAAATTTTAAGTCGGAATCAGCTCAAACTTTCTACACAGCATAAGGACATCAATATGTATCAGAAAATGTAATAAAAATTGAGGGTGATTTTGAAGCCATTTTTTGGAAAAAACCATGGGCTATAGCCTTGGGTATTTTTCAGAATTTTGGCATTTTCTTAAAATGGCCGTAACTTAAAAAATTGAAGTCGGAATCAGCTCAAACTTTCTACATAGCATAAGGACATCAATATGTATCAGAAAATTTAATAAAAATTGGGGGTGATTTTGGAGCCATTTTTCAGAAAAAACCATGGGCCCATGGGTACAGGGTATTATTCAGAAAGTTGCTCATTTAAAAATGCTGAAAACTTTTTAAAAATTGAAGCGTTCTACACTTAAAATATAAGTACATCATCAATGATAATCAAATGATTTATTTCTTCTTTATAGGTTGTACTTCTTAAATCCAGCAGAGAGGGAGGCAGCTCTAGCAACAGATACATGGACACCACCAGTTTCCCATCTCTCACTTCAGCATACAAGTATCCTTTAGCAGGCATGGGAGGCTCACTAATGACAGGGACATACTCCTCCAATCCGTCCCCGTACTCCTCCAACCTGTCCCCCTACAGCAGCAACCCTTACATCAGTGGATCAGCTACCACCACTAGTTATTTTGACCAGGGACCGTTGGATTACACACGGCAACTAGGAGGGGGTTTCCCCTTTAACCCCAAACAGGAAGAGGGTATTTCCCCTCATCATGGCCGTAGTGAGGGACTCTCCTTCAACAAAGGCGACGGATCGTACGCACGACTTGATAACAAAACTAACGACGACTCTTTGACATTCTCGTCATTCCTCAAAAATCAAAATAGCTCAAGTCAATGGCTGCAAGAAACAACACGAACCACTCTCTCGCCTCCGAAAGAAGCCACACCCACTACATTATTACCGCCGGTATCTTATAACGAAGCTTCTCAGTCTTTGCTCCTCCCACCAATTAACAACGATGGGCCGTCTCATGAATTATTAATGAGTAAACCACCTCTAATGACTAGTTCAAAAGATGGTGAGTCCGATGATGATGATGATGATGATTGGTCAACTAGCGACGAGGAGGGGGAAGATCGAGAAGAGAGTGTTGATGGAGACTCGTTGCGTCCCACAGCCCACATGAACCTACGATCGAAATTCGAATGGTTGTCTGCTCAAAATGTTGCCCCATCTACACAGCAGTCTCTACCAACCCTTCATCCTGAGCTCCCTCAAGCCCCTCCTCCAGCTATCAGTGACACTGGTAGGAGGGTACCGCCTCCAATAGCTCCTAAGCCAAAGCTCTTTCGTACAATCAGTAGCGATATAAAAGGAGAGGGACCAATCTCATTTGATGAGGTAAAAAAATATCATATCCAGTTTTATTTAATGAGCTCTGTATCTCTAGAGGTTCACAATTTTTTTTCAAATTTGCATTGTTATTTTATTCATATTAAAGTCCTTTTTAATTTTGCTAATCTTCATAGAATTTGTAAAATTTATGAAATTTGTAATCCTTCGAATAAACAGCAATCTTGATTACGTTATATTAATTAATTAATAGGTGATGAAACCTCCTTCGCTAAAGACTTATATTAGACCGAGAGGACCAAGAGGCCGACGCCCACCGTCAGGTTATTAATTACATTATACATGCGCATAATTATTGACTTTAATACGTGCCGTGTGTGTTTGTACATTATATTGCTGATTGTTTATTATTATTATTATTACTATTATTATTGTTATAATAATTATTATTGTTATTAATTTAATTTTAATGCAGTTATGTTGCCTTCAAGTTTAGCGCATTCCGGCACATCAGCGCAAACAAAGCGTTGACATTATTTGAAATAAAACTTATGTGCGTATTCTAAATTAAGTACAAAAATTAGCGGAAAGTAAGTTTAGTGTATGTTTACATTTCTCAGTTTCAATTATGTTTATAAGAGAAGTGTTTTGAAAATGCTACAATCTCTCAGTAAACAGCTCACACTATAATTTCACTTTATGCATCATTGTACACGTGAAAGCTGCACACTAAGCCTATACTGTTTTTTTAGTGATACTGAAAGGTAATCATATGAAAGTATTATGTAAACATCACAGTCCATTGTTGATAGGTATAGATATACACACATACCATAGTATACATTCACGTTGTCATGTTTTGCTGAGTGTAGTGGGGGATATTACTCCACATCCTTTTGCTCCAGTCCCTTTTCAATGACTTCTATAGTGGCAAAAGGCATACTAGTGTCGCTACTAATGCTAGCCTCATTTTAAAACTGTTCTCACTGTTGTCTCTCTTTCCTCTCTCTCTCTCTCTTTTAAAACTAAAATATGTGAGGACTTGCCCTCTTTTTTTTATTCCCTTTCTCCTCCTATAACTTTCCATATTCGCATTACAGTGATTGCACACACCGTTAGTCATAAATAATTTATTATTACATAATATTTACATTCTAGTACAACAGAAATACAACCAAACAGACACACATTATGATAATTCTATTGATGTATTACTTATTATAATAATGTAATGGAGAGGAATGATGCAAATTATAATGTCTACCATAGTTTGCCATCTGCTGCTGATAGTGTACAGACTCCCTTTTCATTCTTTCCACTTCCGATCTCAAAATCCTATTCTCGGATCTAAGAGCATTTGTTTCATATTGTCCATGTATATCATAGCTGGTTTGTCTGTGAGCATATTTAGCTAATTCTAGCTTAGTCTCTTTCAGTGTCTCGTCTAGTTTAACCGTCAGGTCTTTGTATCTCTCCAGTTGTTTTTTAGTTGATTTCAGTTCAGTTAGCAAGTCATCATCGTCACCTTTGCTTAGGGACTCACCTCTTGCTGATAGTTTGACTGACGGAGCTGCTTTAGTTAGACCTTTTCTCTGCTCTTTTCCAAGCTCCTCCTCAAGCTGTATGTTACGTTCTCTTAGCGAGGCTATCTCGTTGTCACGGGAGCGTATCGTTGCTTCCAAACGATCGATCTTGTCTTGTGCGGATTGAGAGGGAGAGCGAGAGGGAGAGGAAGAGGGAGAAGACAGGAGAGACGAGGTGACATTATTCTTTGGCAGTATGTCCTTCTCTTTTGCTAGCAGTTGTATCTTCTCTTGTAGCTCTGCCGAATGGTCAGGGCTTTTATTATGCAGCATTATAGCTGTATCAGGAAGACTAGTGTAAGCTGGCTCTTCCATTAATTCTGATAGTTTTTCGTACACATTAATCGCATCTGGTCTATCATTGATATTAGTAAGGCAGGCAAGGATTATGTTGTACAGGGGAGAGTCAAGCACTTCTTCCAAGTCGTTCTGTCGTCTTTCAATCTCTGGTACTATCTGGAATCCTTCATTTTCACAGATTCTAAACGCCTCGCTGGCAACAGGATCCCTCCCTATACTCATTTCCAGGACTATCACACCAAGCGAGTATATATCAACTCTATAGTCATAGGTTTTTCGATCTTCTCCATCGGCCATCTTGACTTCAGGCGGCATGTACAGTTCAGTACCTGGTCTTCTCGAGTGCCTAGCAAAACTCTCGCAAGTCGAATTGAGTATTTTGGCTATGCCAAGGTCGGATATTTTGGGTATCCCAGCCAGACTAAGTAGTATGTTTTTGCTAGTGAGGTCTTGATGTGTTATTGGGTTGGACCTCTCGTGAAGGTATCGGAGACCTCCTGTGATACCGATTGAGAGGTCTAGGACGTTTCGATAAGAGAGTCTCGGTTTCTGCCGGTTACGGGCATTAAGAGAGACGCAGAGCAGCTCTTGGACGAGATATGTGTCTGATATTAGAGAGAGCTCACCTTGTATTGAGGAGTCGTGGATCCCATAAAAAGATACAATGTTTGGGTGGTTCAACTGAAACAGCGTGCCAACCTCGCTAACGAATGCCTTTAACGTGCGAGTCTTCTCTTCTTCGCATTTCGAGAGGGTGAATAAGGACTCGTGGAGTTTCCTCACAGCCACAGGGACCCCCAGCCACTCACCGAGACACACCAAACCATACGAGCCCTTCCCTAACAGACGACTACTGTGAACAGTGATATTACTGATGAACCACGACTGTGGGACTACCATCGACTCTTCTGCAGTGGCCGAGAGCCCTTGAGT